AATGGATCAAAAACCCCAACACAAACTCCCTGTTTTGTTTCCTCTCTTGTTCGTTAACTAATTAATTACCTCATTATTCCAGTGAATCCAGTGAATCTTGACAGTTAGGACAGTGTGACATATTAACTCATTAACTAATCAACACTGTTGGCAGTCAACTGGCTTCTCCTGAATCCTTATGTAAAGAATTTAGTTACAAAACACTGCAGAAGTCAGAACATCTTCTTAGCTTGGCTAGTTAACATTGCTAAATAATGATGTATCTACTATCTAAACCAATCTTCAAATCTTGTGGGATGTACCGACATAGTAGTAGTAGTAGTTACTAGTTCCTATTACTAGTTCAGACGATAATATAAGTCCTTTAGTTTGAACAGTTTCCTAAGTACCAGATATTATCCCTCGCCCTAGACTGAAGAGAGTCGCCAGTGGAAGCTGCACCAGTACCATCGCCAGTACTACTGTGGAACCTGTTCAATGAGCTTCATGAAGTGTGAGGTTTCTCTAAAATAGCATCACGTACCGACACCAGTGTCCAGTACTACTTATTTCCATAAGTAGAAAAAAACTTAACCTGGTAACCTTGGTGCCTGCGCAATTCTAACTGCACAACAACATTTTTTGTGAACAAGCTGCTATGAACCCTATCTGCACAAACTTTTTTCAATGCGCGTTCATTACCTCTGTACTACCAGCATTAAGTCCTCATCAACCATGTATCTTTTAGACGTAGAGGTTTGATTCGATGACAAAAGAAGAATTCTGTGTTTAACCAGAGGCACCTGTTTATACATAGCATCAGCTGTTGTTCCTAGTTGTAGTAGAGGAGAAATATCTACTGCATAAACTGTCATTATGTCATTAAAGAGGATTACAATATACAGTGATAAGAGTGATAAGTGTATGTCTAAACACTACGGTTAGCAGTTTTGTATCCAGATAAGTAGAACCCTACATAACACGGCCCCTCCTCCCAACTAGCACACACTCAGTACCCAGTACCATCTGCAGTTACGTTATCTACAGTGCAGTTAGGCCATCTACAGACTGTCTGCATATTCTATCTGCACAATAGTCACCCCGTGACCCACACCCCTGCTTTAGTTTGTGTTATTCCGACGAAGAAGAATGAATTTTAGAAGGCACAATTGTTTGGCTTTTGCATTTTACTAGAAGTAGATCGGTCTTTTTATGTCGAATAATCCATTATTTTGTAATCCGTATGTATATTTATTACTTTGTATTATAAGATCCCCCGATCAATGATCAGTGGCCAGATAGGGTAACTTCAAAGGTGGTTTATTCCTCAGATGGTATTAATTATCACTACTACTACTATATAGTAATATACTACTAATGGTATTAATTATTCAACGTGAACATCTAGAACGGCAGTTAACCAGTGCCCTGAATATATCAAGCTATTTTCTGGTCACTTTGTTTAATGTTTATACAAATTTACATTCGGCTTTTATTCAATATCCGGAGTGACAGATGTGCCGTACACTGCATACAGTGGGGTGCCGTACAGTAGGGTACCGTACAGTGGGGTGCCGTACAGTAGGGTACCGTACAGTGGGGTGCCGTACAGTAGGGTACAGTACAGTGGGGTACCGTACAGTGGTGAGTGGGGTGCCGTACAGTGGGGTACCGTACAGTGGTGAGTGGGATGCCGTACAGTGGGGTGCCATATGTTAAATACCAATTAAAGCCTCTCCTCGTATCATACAAATCCTAATCTGTCGACAAAAGGAGTTCACACTCTCACAGTACGTCTAATCTCTATATCATGACACTGCATGTCCCTTTTATCACTCCTGCCTGTTAATTTACGTACTACTCTGAGATAAGAGCAGAGGTTAAGGTTTTGTGTCCGTCTCAGTCTCTAAGTCTAAGTCTCTAGATTAATAGAGTTTGATCCATTATATTGGGTATTCTAGGTTTTAATTTTTGTGTTTCGGTGACGTGTTTTTCTGAACTGTGACTGAAATGATATGAAGATCGGCAATATTGCTATTGATAAACTCACTTTTAATATCATGATTGATACAAAAATTGGATTGGCCAGGTAAAAAACTATCGCGTAATGTTTAAGTGCCGGTCATGTCCGAAGATTGGTGATTTTTTTCTTCAGTTCTTCATATCTAAAGCATAGGTAGTGATTCGCGTATCTTATCAAAATCAAATGGGTATCAGCTACGCAGTGCCGGCAGTCAATGTTTTATAATATTTGTGGTAGTGTCATTCTGTTGTTTAAAAGGGCCAAGTGGTGACCCTGATGGTACACGTGTACTATTAATCTCACGTACTTTCTGTAAATAACCCTAAGTGAGCAGTAGTAGTACTGCTCTGAGCGCTTTATTGCTACTAAACGTACTGAGCTTTTCCTTTTGTCAGCGAACTATTAGCTAAGAGTTCTATAAGAGTGTAGCTGATGTCAGGGATACAGGAACCAGCCCCAGATATCACCACCGAGCCCTCCGTCATGTTCGTTAACGATGCAGCAGCTCAGCAGTTCACCACCCCCTCCTGCTCCGCCTCCAGCCAGTTCACCACCCCCTCCTGTCCCGCTTCCAGCCAGTTCACCACCACCTCCTGTCCCGCCTCCAGCCAGTTCACCACCCCCTCCTGTCCCGCCTCCACCGTGGCTAGTCCCCGCTCTTCGGGTGTAGCCCCTCCTGAGCCTTGGGATCTAGACAAGATCTTCCTGTACCCGGGCAGATTGGGGCTCCACCAGGCCCCTCTGAGGAGGTCTAGTTCTTGTAACATTCCTCTGATAAAGCAGACTAGTGCTGTTCCAGAGATACTGAGGGATGATTATGTGGGCTATATCCGGGACTCTGGACCTAACGAGATGACGCTCAAAAGGTACAAACACTAACAGTTACTACCATACTTGCTTTTATTATCTTATCTTATATCTGCTTATCTTGTATCAGCTTATCTTATAGATAGCTTCGTTTATCTAATATAATGTAGGATATTACAGGGTTGCCTGCACAGTTTACTTTGTGTCAATTTAAACTTTTAAGACAGAATCGTTTCATTCGATTTCATATCTGCTTTTTAAGGTTGGTATCTTTCTATGTGATTTTGTTGTTGTTATCTGTAATCAAAATCTGTCGAATAAATGATTGATAGGTCAAATGAGGATGAATGATGTCGATTAGCGATGCGTGAAATTTAATTTTCATGCTGAATCTTATGTTAAACTGCTCAAGAACATCAAAGGCCACATTATGTGTTGTGACCAATTCACACTTGTGATCAAATGATCTCAGGTTTAAATTATAAGGTTTCCTGAAACACCTACTCCTGAGGTCCTCACAAAGTAAGGTCTGTAATTTAACAGTCTCTTCAGCTTGTTCGCGGTCTATATTCTATAATGCACCTCACAGAGTGCCGTGTTGAGGTGAACTCATTGGGCAGACTGATAATCACACAGCTGCTGGTAATCACACAGCTAGTAATCATCACACAGCTGCTGGTTATCACGCAGCCAAGCCCTTCTTTCCAGATCATTTCTACAGTACAATTAATGATCCCCGACCGTTACATCTTTAGAAGATGTGTCTCACATGATGGCTACAGTGTGTCAGCCACTTCATTTGAAGGCAACTTCAGGGAAGTGTTCGTTCGTGGTTTTATGAGAATGCTCGACTTGTACGTTTCTAGTGAAAGTACAGTACCTCGGAGGTAGGTTACAGAAAGGTTACAATAACATAAACCCGCCACGCAAAGGGTTTATATAACAGATCATCCCGCTAGCGCGGGATGATCTGATAAACACATACGAGTGCGCGCAGCGCACGAGTTTTGTGTTAATATGTAATCCCGAAGCGCCAGCTGAGGGATTACATTTATTTAGCCCTGAGCGTGAAGTGTTTATGGATTATAATTATCTCCGGCGATTTCGACAAAGGATTTATACTTTAGAAGAGATTGGAAAGCAGTTCATCAATCTGAATGTCAAACCGATCTGTCATAGTGGAGCAATAGCTTGAACGTTAGCAGGAACAAGAGCTGGAAGGAGAGCAAGCAAAACAATACTATTTTTAGGGCACGGACAAGGGTAGCTGGCTAGTCGCCAACTTCTCACGCCACGCGTTGGAGAAATTCCAAGAATTAGCTGCTTTGGCAACGTTCCCAGGAATTTGCGTGTAAAAGAAGTGGACGGTTACGATGTTTCATATCAGTATCACGTGGTGCGCTTTCGTGTCACGTGGTATAGACTCGGCGTATGCTATTGGTGGCACGTGGTACGCACGTGACGCGCCCACGTGATCGCGCGTCTAACTGTTCTACTATTATCGAGTTCTAATCAGCAGTATCATCGATTATTGTAAGTCGGAGAATTGAATGATAAACATCAGTTACGACTAAAAGTAAAAAGCGGGCCGGGTTTATACAAATTTCCGGGGCGGGATGATATCACCTTGAGATGTTTATCTAACAGCGGGCCGGGCTGAGTGATAATATGATCCCGCGTCGAAATCCCGGAGATATTTATAGAAAGGTTACCTAGCAGCAAGGTTTTAAATGTGGTTAACAGGAGGGACCCGGCCAAATCTCATTATAACACCCATTTATAGACCCTTAATTTTTGTTTAGCGTGAAAAATTCCTGTTAAATGTTAAATCATCATTTTATGTTATAAATAATAATAAAAACGTTCATCAGGCCCTAAATGAATATTACAGATCAAATATCATGAGGCATTGAAATTTGATCCCAAATATTTATCCTAAAGTAAAGGATCTCTTATAGAGAAGTTACAAACACAGACTAAATCTAATATCCATCACTCTAAACTAAAAACAAACATACTTAACAAGTTAACAGCTGCACACGTCACAAGCTCAGATGAACCACTACCGAAATGACATTATAGACCTACTTTGCTCATTTTAAATATGCGAATATTCCACATATTCCGCCAATCTAGAAACTGTGCCGTATTCTGTAATATTAACCATTGTAATCCTACGCCACCCGTGGACCGGTACATAGTGAGGTAGCCGAGTGGGGGTGGTGGGTGGCTCTGACTCTCTGACCCATATGTACCTATGCTCTCATATATTATATGTGGACTCAGGGCTTGTCATTACCCCTAGTTTCATTGCGCTCCTTATCGAATTTATCAGCTCTAACCATGGCAACCATCTCGTTAATCGTTTTCTCTCCTTTTTCCCTCACAATTGCAACTGTACCAACTCCTAGATAGCTATAATTGCTTTTCGTTTTGAATGTTCGGTCTCTTAGTTCTTCTTTTATGAGTGTGAGGGCGGGTGGAGTTAAACTTCCTCCACTTGCAACTAAGAAGAAGAGGAGGTCAAAGCAGCCTAAAAGTAGCGTTGTTCCACATGAAACGGAGTACGAGTTAACTCCGACTGATTCAGATTACATTGCTTTTGTTGGCAGTAAGCAGGAGGAAACCCCAATAGATGTACCCAGTCAGTTTGAAGACAGTTCAACTGTAATTCTAAACAATGTCGTCAACCCTGAGAGTGAGATTGAAAGAGAAAAGGAGGAGGAAATGCTGAGGAACAATATTGATTTAGAGGCCGGGGAGAAACACGATCTAGTCTCTAATGAGGGCACCAACCATAAAGTAGTGAATGTTCGGCCAACATCTGCGGCAGGGACGAATGTTCCTGAAGATGGAGAAGTCGGAGATAAACCAAAACAACAAGCTACGGTTATTAAAAACGAGCTTGCTGACCATAAAAGTATACAAGACCGTCCACCCTCTACTCGACCGCTCTCCGCGCCAGAAATATATTTACCAGATGAATACAAAGAAAAAAATATATCAAATACTGAGGAAGCTAAAGATGAAGAAGCTAAGGCTGACACTGAGGAAGCTAATTCTGAGGAAGCTAATCTTCGGCCAGGAGACCAGGTGTGGACAGACTCTGTTTATGACAGTGACGAACTGGATGATGCAGTGGTTGGGGGCACAGCTGGCGGTGAAGATGGGGAAGGTCAGGAATTGAAGGTACCCAGGAGTTTCCTCCGAAGATCAAGCGAGCAAGGAAAGAAATTTAAATTTGCAGTAACGAAAGTGTTGCTAGACAGAATGTGAGTTTACACTGTAAACTCAGTTTACACTTATGGTCGAGCCTTGTCTATCAAACAAATGAAGATAAATATATATTTCTTTCGATTAATAATTTTTACCGTTTATGATTTGATGTTGGCAACAAATTTACCGTCACTTCAGTCTTGATTTCAATTTAAATCGACTTTAAGACAACTTCTTCAAAATAATTGAGTTAAAAGTTAGAGTGCTAATCGTCCGTAATTATTCGAAATTGAAAAAAAGCAACATTTAACCAAATACTAATGCTCCCAGCAGACGAAAAGAGATAAAATCTTGGATTTACTGCCGCGTATTTACAACATATTCATTTAAACTATGCAATATCTTAACAAATAGTTTAAATGAATAACATACTAATCAACATCACAATACAATTCAGCTGTTATTCTGAAAACTTTATAAAAGCAAATAACTAATGCGTTATGTTTTCAGGGCGAACAAAACAGCGCTAGATCAGAAGTTAAAAGTGCACCCAACCTCAGAGGAAGGGAGCAATGGGAACCATCTCGGTCCAGATGTGAGTATGTTGTGTTATCAGTTACGTTACATTAACATTAACTAGTAAACAAACCTGGTTCCCAATCAGTTAACTATCAATAAAGCTGATCATTTGTATCACTAAAGATACAAAATTACAATTAAGTTACACTAAAACGCCTGGAATCTGTATTTAATGACTTCATTCTCCTAATTGGTCTCATTACTGCCATTTAAATTTTAGCTCTTCTTTTTCTAATAATCTTCTTTTGTTAATTGATAATATGAATCTGCGGACAAATTTGTGGTATCATAATTATTTAACACCTTAACAGTTGGTTCACTATTGTGTTCACTATTTAACAGTTGGTTCACTATGTTTGTGTTAGGTGTAATGAAATTGTTTAACTCTCCCTCACCGGGGCAGGGTAAGAATAACGTACAGAGCATGGCCAGTGTTGCACAGACCATCACATTCATCAGACGTATCAGCAAACGCACCGGCAAAAAGGTCAGTTATTACACGTTACTATTATGTTTTAAGAGTATTTTGAATAATTATTTATAAATATTTATATAAATATGATCAGTTGCCATTTCAGTGGGGCAGCGTGGCTTTTAGTTTTATTCTGCACAGCATTTCAACTTGGTGTCGCTGGTTTTTGTTACTAGGAACTTTATTGATTTGATCAAGATGACACTGCACGACATTTAATTTTTCCTACATTAAAATGTACGGTATCTAGTGTTATTTTGAGAAGATTAAGTTATTAAGTGTTTTATAATAATTTTGTCTTTGCCTTTTTGAGTTACACTTATGTTCACATTTCTTATAATTTGCTTCTATCACTCACAGTCAGCCGCTCTGACATGGTAATAACCTGCCTTCTTTTTGTCGGATGGTTAATCGTATGAGCGGGACAGAAATATCTCATTTCATTTCATATTGCTAATTGCATTGTCAGCCTTACTTTATGTTTTACAGTTGGGTTTAGCCAGCGTTTTGGAATCTTTAAATCTACTTTTGATGATAGGTTAGTGTCGGGTGGGAGATTTGGGTTAGGTTTAGGTCGAAAATCCGAACCATAACCTTACTTTTTTGCCCGCAAATCGTAGAGTCTCACGTCTAGTCTGTATCATTTTACGAAAAAGTGGTCGTCATAGAGCTTCTTTTCCTATTGTATCATGCTGAAAAACCACTAAGTTATTTAATAGTTTGAAATACCCACATACTAATAGGTTTAGTTTAAGATTATAACTTAATAGAGATAATTTGCGTTATGTACTTATAGAATATAGGTGGGACCGCATTCCCACAAGATGTACTACTAGTAGTTACTATAGTATTACTACTAGTTAGGCACTGTCAGTAATGTAATTCTAATTAGTACAATGATAGTAACTGAGTATGTTTGTATCGTTCTGACTTAGTTTGTGAGATGTTTCATATAAGCTGGCCTTTATAAATCACACAAATTCACTCTGGCTGAGAGTGGCTGAAACACTCGCTCGGCATACCAAAATACCAGTTTTAATTGTTTTCTCCTGCTGCATGCAGTTCTAGGTTGCGGTTCTAATCTTCGCATGATTACCGTAAGTATTTTGTAACTTAGTTTTTTAATAACTAATACCTAAGGTTGATAGACTAATATGTTTTTATATTAATGCTCAATTCCGATCGCTTCCTGTAATAAAGAATGCTAAAAATAATCAAGGCTGCAAATTCTTATCCCTTTTTTAAAGTGGATAACAATTGAACAATGATTTGTATTAGTATTTTATTCTGCTTCAGACGTAATAGTCATTGTCAGCATATTGCACGAATTGGAACATAGTTCAGTAAGCAAATAAAGCAAGTCAAGGGAAAATTAATTTTTCGCTTTACATAATTAAGATTCACCTAGTTGGCTTCCTCCAGGCAGAGAATTTTCTGATCAGGAATGGTATAATTATCTAAATTCCAATTATGGCTCCGGTATTCCTAACACTATTGTTATTCTTTACCAACTTTATAAAGGTGAAATTTTGGAATTATGATTCTGGAGCTGCTTGTTTCATTTGTTGAGCTCGCTAGTGGAGGAAAAACAGAATTTTCACCTATCAACATTCTGGAGCTGGTAAAGATTTTCTCCCAGGGTAGAAATTTGTAGAACGATGTTTCGTGGCAGATAATGAGGGTAAACATGGTGAATTTAAAGACAACTTTAACAGAGTTGTTTGGAAATAGTAATATCAGTAACAAAATATGGAATTCGCAAACATTACAACAAAAATGTATGCCAATCTGGATTCTGGGGCAGAGGAGGACATGTTTGAACAGCTACTATACATCGAAAAGATTGTTTCTGTATGAGAAACCACTACCCTCTAGCTGAAGACGATTTACACATGTATTTTTAAAGCTCCTGCTAAACAAACTTTTCGTATCACTTATATGTTTTAAATAATCCGCCTCCAAGCACTATCCTCTAATGTTTCTAGAAAAGCATAAATACCTTTTCACCTTTTGGAACAAAATCAGATAAAAATCATTAGAGCGTGCACTTTGGGAACATTTATAGAGTGTCCGTCCATACTTAACAAAGTAAACAAGTTTCAATTAAATGAGATGAATTACCTGAATTTTACCAGCTTAGTCGTCTGATCACAACTAATGAATCCTGTATTGTCGAGTTCTTTAATTACGCTATTAATTACAAAGCCTAAGTTAACACTTCGCCAACAGTGGCCATCATCTGTACGTTCATATTGCATAACGAGGAATTTAGTTAATGTTTAAATAATTACTCTTCGAACTTGCAGCTTTATTCAGTAATTGCATGTCATTACAATGTCGCGGAACGAAACTACCTCTGTGCTGCTTCACCGGTTACTGTCAGAGTTGTGGACATTTTAATTCGCTTCTCTTTTCTAACTCGTACTCGACACGGTTTGCTCGGTTTATCAGTTGTACGCTGGATGTGGACTGTGGAGAGTGACACATTCTCTCCCCCCCCCATCTCTCAAGAGGAGAGAATGATAAATCAAACATGTCACGAAGATGATCGGAATTCTAGTAAAGAATTAATAGAAATAATCTGATTTGTCATATTCAATATTCTATTTTTATTATTGCCTCGCACTAATCACAAGTTATGTATACTGTATAGGTGTTAAACTAAATATATCGGAGGCTTCAGTCTTCACGGTGAGCAATAATTCCATCAAGGTTCCATACAATTCACTGAACCCATTAGGGACGATAGGGTCTTTTACGACCCACCTTTTCTAGAGGCTATAGAGGACAAACAAAAATACTAAACGCTACGAATCTTTAGCACATATGCTCAAAATTTATTGGGCTACATTATTGACTTTCCATTCGAGACCCAATTAATCACTAACAATTAAATAATTAGGCTAATTAGTCGTCATAATTGGAAAATATTTTACTTATTTCACTTAACTTCTTGCCTTGATTGGGACATCAAAACGTTATGTGGGCTTATTTGTTTGAGAACAAAATAGTTGTGGGCAACGATTTCCTAGAGAGTAGTGAAAAGCCCGTGATAATCAGATCTTCACAAACAGAGCTAGACGCTGTTTACTAATTACTGCGGTCGCAAACGACCCACTCGTCAGGGTAGTAAACGACCCATCACGGTTTTTCGGCTATTACTTCTGAAACAAAGACGTTAGGATAAAATAAAAACTGTAGCATAAGTTAAAAACATATGGTCAATACTCTGTGACTCTAACTTTTTTAAGTAAAGAATTTGGTTCATTATAACGACCCACTCGGCTCACTTGCTTATTACTACATATTATGTCCATGTAACTTCTTGAATTCAGCCTACAACATGACATCATATGTGCAAAATCGCCTCTCAGCAAGTGATTATCATCATAAACTGCGAAAAATCTGTTAAATGGGTCATTAGCGACCACAAAATTTATTAATAAAATACGTTGTTGTCAAACTTTTACAAATATTATTATAAAAACATGCTATATCTTGGTCATTGCTCCTGTACGTTGATTTAACTTTTAAAATCAATCAACATAAGTCATGGCTGGTCTTCCCCTACTCCGCATCCCATGAGTTGGTTCCCAAAGTAGCAAGCGGTTTGCGACTTGTTCTGGGTGCCGGTGGATATGGCCTGCTAGTCGCATCCTGCGCTCTTTGATCTTCATGGTTGCTCTCGGTAGGTTGCCATAGACTTCTTTGTTGGTTTTGCGCTGCTTCTAGTCCACATTTAGTGCCATCCTTAGCATTCTAGTGTAGCATCCATCAATGCTTTTCTTCAATTGCTCTGTCAACGTCAACGTTTCAGAACCATATAGAAGTATTGACTACAGCAGTAGCAACAAATAGACGGATCTTTAGTCCTCTTCTAAGGTCAGACTTTGTGGTCCTAGTGGGTCGATAATGACCCATTTAACCGATTTTTCGCAGTTAATGATGATAATCACTTGCTGAGTGAGCCGAGTGCAGGTCGTTAATGACCCAAATTCTTTATTTAAAAAAGTTAGAGTCACACAGTATTGGCCATATGCTTTTAACTTATGCTACAGTTTTTATTTTATCCTAGCGTCTTTGTTTCAGAAGTAATAGCCGAAAAACCGTGATGGGTCGTTTGCGATGTCCATCGCTCATGTATCTTTTTTAGTAAACGAGATACAGATTAGCTTTTTTGGATATCTAATTTTTGCTGTAAAGTGACCTAGTATAGTGTGTTAAACGGCATCAAAACGGCATCAAAATCGGCAAACTTTAAAACTCGTCGTCCCTAATGGGTTAAACTTATTTCTAATCTACAATTTTAAAGGAATAAATCAGCAACCAATATAGTCATTAACCTTGGATTAGGATAGGTTTGATATTTGAAGAGAATCTGATTGCTGCCAATCTTAGCTGCACATACATCAGTGAGATCAGTTATTTGAGGGGTCCGGAGTCCGGACTCTATTTGATACTTGCACATTATCTCTTCTATTCACTATTCCAACTTAAACCCAAATTATACACCCTTTTTACGGTTATTACCGCGGACGAGGCTTGCATTTCGCAGGTTGCACAATAGCTGTTAAATTTGTTGGCAAAGACTCATCAATCTTAATTTTGTATTGGGCGTATCATAAGCCAAAAGAATGCGGTAACTTAATTATCGAATGCCATTTTTAAAGGCGATAACTCAAATTTGTAATGCAATGATAAAAAACCAATTTATATAAAACATTGTGTATCTCCTGTGTTGAGTATCTCTTTAACCTTCTACTAGAAATATAGCAGCCATATGCCCTAAGACAATTAATGAATTAATTAGGCTATAAAACAAATCTTCGTTTACAAATCATCCTTCTTTGTAAAGAAGTATACAATTATACAATTATACTATTATAAAATTCCAGTTTTTAGTTTTGAGTTTTGACCACGTGATAATTGCTGAGAAGTGAGGAATGGTTTTTTAATTAATGATATAAGTAGGCAATTTAAATATAGAAATGTTGGTATTAAGTGATAATCTTCCT